TTATTATTTTAAATATTTGTATTTTTATATAGTTAAAATATTAGTTAGATTTATTATATTATTATATATTAGTTTTACACAGGTCGAATGAAGAACTACCAGGTAGCTATCAGGATGTCGATATGAGCTGATAGGTCCCCTAATATAATATGATAGTTTATTGGTATCCGTATTCTATAAGTTCCTGATTTGATATCTATATTTATCTGAACTTTTGGCTCATATAGGGCACCTATCGAATAAATATCAGCATCATATCAGCATCATATCAGTAATATATCAGTGCTATATCGGTACTCTAATATGTAATAAAGAAAGCCCGATATTGTATCCTATGTTTCTCTAAAACCAGATACATATCGAATTATTTAAAAACTAATCAATATAAAAAAACTATTTATTAAAATCAAATTTATATAAAATTTATATAAATTATAAATTTTTATTTACAAATATTAATATATTAATATATAAATAAGTAATCTAATTATTAATATAAACTAATCTTAAAATTCAATCTAATTTGTTTTTCTAAAACCAAATACCCAACCTGAAAATGAAAGCACTAGCGAAAGAGGCAATTGTAAATCGTAGCACTGATCTGAAAACCAAGGCCAAAATACTCAACCCGAAAATGAAAGCATCAGCAAAGAGAAAATTGTGAATCATAGCACTGACCTAAAAATGAAGATACTAGCGAAAGAGACAATTGTGAATTATAGCACTGACCTGAAAACGAAAGCACCAGCGAAAGAGACAATCATGAAGCGTAGCACTAACCTGAAAATGAAGGCACTAGCAAAAGAAATAATTGTAAAGTGAGACACTAATCCAAGAACGAAAACACTGGCTAAAGAAGCATAATACTGATCTAAAAATAAAGAAGTCAGTGTAAGAAACAATTGTAAAGCGAAACACTGACCCGAAATGAAACACCAGCGAAAGAGACAATTGTAGAGTGAAATATTGACCCGAAAACAAAACACTAGCAAAAGAGACAATTGTAGAGACACTGACCCAAGAATGAAAGTACCAACAAAAGAACAATTCTAAAGTAAGACACTAACTTAAAAATAAATAAGTCAATGTAAAAAACAATTGTAAAGTGAAACACTGACCTGAAACGAAACACCAGCAAAAGAGACAATTGTAGAGTAAAATACTGACCCGAGAACAAAAGCACCAGCGAAAGAGACAATTGTAGAGTGAGACACTGACTAAAAATAAAGAAGTCAGTGTAAGAAACAATTGTAAAGTGAAACACTAACCGAGAACAAAACACCAGCGAAAGAGACAATTGTAGAGTGAAACACTAACTCAAGAACAAAAGCACCAGCGAAAAAGACAATTCTAAAGTAAGACACTAACCTAAAAATTAATAAATCAGTGTAAGAAACAATTGTAAAGCGAAACACTGACCCGAAACGAAATACCAGCGAAAGAGACAATTGTAGAGTGAAACACTAACCTGAAAACGAAACACCAGCGAAAGAAACAATTGTAGAGTAAGACACTGACTAAAAATAAAGAAGTCAGTGTAAGAAACAATTGTAAAGTGAAACACTGACCCGAGAATGAAAGTACTAGCGAAAGAGACAACTGTAGAGTGAATACTGACCTGAAAACAAAATACCAGCAAAAGAGACAATTGTAGAGACACTGACCCAAAAATGAAACGTCAGCGAAAGAGACAATTATAGAGTGAGACACTGACTAAAAATAAAGAAGTCAGTGTAAGAAACAATTGTAAAGCGAAACACTAACCTGAGAACGAAAGTACTAGCAAAAGAGACAATTGTAGAGTGAAACACTGACCTGAAAATGAAACACTAGTGAGAGAAACAATTGTAGAAACACTGACCCGAAAATGAAACACCAGCGAAAAAAACAATTGTAGAGTGAGATACTGACCTAAAAATAAAGAAGTCAGTATAAGAAACAATTATAAAGTGAAACACTAATCCGAGAACGAAAGCACCAGCGAAAGAGACAATTGTAGAGTAAAACACTGACCTGAGAACAAAAGCACTAGCGAAAGAGACAATTGTAGAGTAAAACACTGACCCGAAAATGAAACACTAGTGAAAGAGACAATTGTAGAGTGAGATACTGACTAAAAATAAAGAAGTCAGTGTAAGAAACAATTGTAAAGTGAAATACTGACCCGAGAACGAAAGCACTAGCAAAAGAGACAATTGTAAAGTGAAACACTGACCCGAGAACGAAAGTACCAGCAAAAGAGACAATTGTAGAGTGAAACACTGACCAGAAAATGAAATACTAGCTAGAGACACCAGACAGATGCAATCACATAATATGCGTATAAAATGTGATTAATTTTTACTAAATTTAGATCATTTATGTAGCATTATGCGACGAATTTTAAGTGAATAATATTCGCACTATACATATATACGTAATTGTTCATAATTATCACAATAGTGATTTGTTATCATATGATCGTAATTGTTGATACGTATCAATATTGAATAAAGTATTTTGAACGTTATGTAATTGTTACAATATCAATATAAGTATTTAGAACGTTATAATTTTGCTTTAATTTTAACGATGGGAAAAACCAAGTTTACAGCCTTAGAACGTGTAAATTCCAATGACTATAAAGATGATTTTTACGAATCAAATAATAAAATGTTTTGCATCGCTTGCAAAACTATGTTAATTACACTAAAAAATCTGTAATTGATAATCATCTTAATTCGACATCACATAAAAGTAAAAAACATCTCATAGGAGCATCCTCAAGAAATATAACAAAACAAGAAATTAATATAGCGTTAGTTAAAGCATTTGTGGAAGCTGATATCCCACTAAAAAAAGTCAATAAATTACAAACATTCTTTAAAGAATATTGTATTGAAGGTAAATTGATCTAATACACATGTTATATATATTATTAAATATTAATTTTTTTTAATTATATTATAGGTGATAAGATCGTTAGTGCAAATCAAATGCGCGAACATTATCTTCTACAAATTTTTCAAAGTGAAGTAGACGAATTAAAAAATCTTTTAATTAATCAACTTATTTCAATTACAATTGATGAGACAACTGATGCTTGTGGATATTGTGTTGCTAATGTTTTAATTAGCTTTCGTAATCAAATTAAATTGGTTAAAACAGAATATTTAGATAATATTAATCATTCTACAATTTCACAATTAATAATATCAACTTTAAATTTTTATGATATCTCTTTTTCTAAAGTTGTTTTATTTATTAGTAATAATACCGCATATATGAAAAAGGCCTATTCAGACATATTAGTTCAAGTAATACCTTGACTTAAACACAATTGTTGTTTCGCTCACATTTTAAGTTTAGTTGAGAATTGTTAGATATATTTTGATAATTTTAAGATTCTTACAACTGTAACTTCTAATATCAAAGAAGCCTTTTCTCATTCTCCTATTCGTAAAAGAAGATGGCTAAAATTTCTTTCTTCAAATCTTGTTTCATCGAATCTGTTAGATTTGTCTCCAGAATCATCTGAACTTAACTTACAATTGCCTCCATTATTCGTAAAAACTCGTTGGAATAGTTGGTTTAATTTTGTTATCTGGATGAAACCATACTTCTTATTTCTTGTTCAATTTTTTATTATAGAAAATATGCTTAACGATCCTTCAAAAGCGGTTAAAGAATTAGCCAAAATTTTTTTGAATCATGAAAATATTCTGATCATCGAATTAATCATCGAATTTATTACTTTAAATGCTCAACAGTGAGAATATACAATATAATATTATTATTATATTTATTAAATATAATTACTAATTAATTATATTAATTAGTTTAATTCAGGATTTGGAATTTTTTAAAATTCG